GTCACGGCTGCTTCCCCGCGTCGGCCTCCTGGTTTCGGCGAAGTCAAGCCATCAAGGCCCTCTTGTCAGACGTCGCGCCATGCCAAATTATCGATAGACGCGAAATGACGCCGCACTTTTCTCCATTCAACGTTGCCAACGGCGGGTTTGCGCGTGTCGAATCCTCCCCTACGCTTTTCCTGTCGGGTATTGCGGAGCGCATCACCGAGCCATGGCCGACGCTCATGGCGCATCAAATTCCGAGTTCTTATTTCGTTCTGGCAAAAACCGCGGTTACGGGAGCGGAGTCTGTAGGGGAAAGAAGCACGATCACCGAGCTGCTTCATGTTCCACCCCCTAAGATTACCTGACATCTTCAAAGAGGCACATCAAAAAGATGTTAGTTCTACCGGCAAAGATTTTGCAAATAAGAACATAAAACCATCCTTACCCTGTTACCAACACTCTTCCTCTGAAATCACGGCTATTTTACAAGCAGTCACATGAGGTACTCGTCTTTCCCACAGACTGCACCCAGCACGCCGTACCACCGAGGCCATCCCCGAAATGAAGCAGGATTGCCCGCCCATCTAATAGCCTCTTTGACCCCTTCTTCCTGACAACTGTTCCACGCAGTCGTAAAGGGCCGTGGTGGAATCAGGGCGACGATGAGGGAGGAGGGAGGGGGAGGGGGAGGGGAGGGAGAGGGAGAGGGGGAGAGGGGAGAGGGAAGAGGGAGAGGGAGAGGGAGAGGGAGAGGGAGAGGGAGAGGGAGGAGGGAGGGAGGGAGGGAGAGAGAGAGAGAGAGAGAGAGAGAGAGAGAGAGAGAGAGAGAGAGAGAGAGAGAGAGAGAGAGAGAGAGAGAGAGAGAGAGAGAGAGAGAGAGAGTGTTCACATTTTCACTACTACCGCATGTATTCTATCTATTTATGACTCAACGTATGCCAAAAAAGCCAAGCTCTATTGGTTATGCACAGGAAGAAAAATATGGGACAAAAGGGGATAACCAAAAACACCTTATTACTCTGAATGAACACAATGTCCTCGTTTTCGTGCCGTGGGCGACCGAGGTTGGCCCCGCAAACGCCCACCATTGACACGAGCGGCTTCTCGTGGCAGCGACAGACAAGTTGACTGCGAAGGGCGTGATTTCATCCGAGCGAGACATAAGGGTTAGGCGGCGATCCGGGCGGCGACCGTATCGGAACAATCATCCACGCTGCTGGTCCCCATCGAAACATCGTCTTATTATCCTACTCCTCCGGGAAGGGGAGGTTCAATCCTGCTGTCGAGGCCGCTGCTTCCCCTCCCGTTCCTCCTCCCTCTCGACTTCCTCCCTTGTGCCCTTCGTTCATGGCCACTAACCACAAGCTACTTCGTACTTGTCAGTTTGACATGAGCCGCCATACATCACACAGCAACAGGCGGCGTCCCCCTGCCAATGGTCCAATGTGGCCAACGCCAATGGCCATTCATGTGCCATTCACTAAACAACATGAACCCTCAGTATCATTCACGTTTTCGCTGGAATCTCCATGCTGCTTAAAATCCCTTCCTCGGTCAACAAACGATACGGTAAAAATCGAAGTCTGTGCCGTCTATCAGCCTCGCATCAACTTCCACGGAGGCCTGTCCCCACCATTCGCCCATGATCGTCCTTATTACAAAGAGAGAGACGACTGCGGATAATAAAAAAAGGAAAAAAAAAATACCACGCATCCCCTCTTCGTCTCAGCCCCCTTCGTCCTCTCTCACCCGTAATGAGTCTCGTTCTAAGGTGTCTTGGGAATGTTCCTGGCGCGAGATTGGCAGATACTTCCTTTCTGTGAGGCGAGCCTGACCGCAGACCTTCCGCAGACCTTCCGCATAAAAGCTTAGCCACATCCCCAAACCAGGTAAGGTAGGATAACACTGCTATAATGACGCAGGTTACATCACTTTCCTGAACTATACAGGACAAAACAATATGCATCAAATAAAACTTATGGAATTGAAATATAAATGCTTCATTTCAAGAAGACGGCGTAAAAGAAGTAAAAAAAAAGAAAAAGAAAAAGAAATACCAACTCGAGGTGACTCATAAACCCAACATCTGTATTCGGGAAAGCAAATCAAATGCCAGCAGGTGTAAACGAGGACACACCTGTGAAGATCAGTACGGAGGCAAGGTGACTCGCTACTGCCTTTTTCTGGAATGGAAAACAAAGTAGGTGGTCCCCATATACTTTACTTGGTCACGTTTCCTACATCTGATGTAAGGGTATCATGGTAGATGCGAGTATAAGCGCTAGCCTGAGTTTGGGTGAGTGCGAATGTAAGAGTAACTATAACTTCCTCTTATCTTGGTTAAAGTTTTACTTCTCATACTGTATGGAAATACTAATCAGTCGAAGTCACGACGTACACGAACCTATAATTCTTGACATTTTTCGTACTCCTGCATTTTCTCGTCAAACCATCCATGGCGGGATGAGGCAACAACAAAGGGAAGAAATACCTGAACACACTTGAACATGGCGACGGAGCGGCGCCTCGGGGCATCGCGCGCGCGTCTCCAGGAATATGTCAGAAGTCTGCATGTTGGCTGGCAGACATGAAAAAATATCAACCAATAGTGTTTATATTCCACATTAAACAAATAGGCAAAGAACAGAAGTTAGTGTTTAACTACTGCTTGGCCGAGATGACACTGACTGTAACGTTATCTCGACTACAACAGCAGCCACGGACCCACCATAACACACCGTGCAATATAATTCCTTGTTCCGTGGGCTTTTACATGACTAGTCTCTCCATTCATGCAATAGTATCCACTTCAGTTAATCTGTTTCCAAGTCCAGCAATGAGTGGAATCTTTAGACATATCCGACCAAGTGTCCAAGACTCATTTAATACCATTAGCATGTGACCTTGGGCTCGCCACACCCCAGCCGGCTACTCTCAAAATTTCCCACACGCACACCAGGCTGCAGCAACTAACGCCCGTCACTATAATCCGCCATAAAACAATAAACATTTTATTGGTGTAACATTCGCCTCAATACCACGTCAACGGAACATTGCGTTCGGCAATAGCAACTGAACTTTCACAATCTGTCAAAGACGAGAAATTTCTCAACGCCAAAATTAAATATATAGACACTAAAATGTCATCAATATTATCCATAATATAAATTATCTTGTACCATTGTTTCAAGGGAAAGAGGTCTTCAAACTTTGTAAATCCAATACCAAATAATATACAAAGGTCACTTTACAGGAGCAAATCTTTTGAGGCTCGGTACGGAAGCATCAAAGTAGTTTGGCCATGTCGACACAGAAACTTTTAGGCCCAAGCGGCAGGCTATCAATGGCATGAAACCAAAGGGCTACTTAGCTTGATCACCAAATCCCAAGAGCACCTAATCGTTCCAATCTATGACACTGTCACTCAGCGAGAAAAGTCGTCCCATCCAAGACTAAGACCCGCTTAGGATAATAACTATTCAACGTACGGTGATTAGCACTGGTTCTATGAAAATCTCAACTCTCCGCATTCACTCGAGAAAAACAATACTGTAATCAGTAAAAACAGTACTTGGGAAATACACCAAATCTACTGCTGTTACTGCGGATACAATTTACAAAAAAATACAAATACTTAATCAAATAAAGTTACAGAACGAGCATTCATAAATCAATTAGGTTGAAGGTCCCTGTTATGAACTATTCGTCCCGTTTAACGATTTACTGCTAACCAATTTTGATATTCGATAACTTTATGAAAATTGTGAGGATCAATTATGTACTTGGGCTATATATGGCCAATAAAACTCTAAAACGTCAAAACAGCAACCAGTTTTAGAGCATTTAACCTTTATGGTAAATCAAATCAATAAACGAAAATGTGCTACGTTGAATAATTCGGTAAAAATAAAATTCAATCAAAACAATTCACAAATTTCAAACTAAAAGCACCTAAAGTCTCCACTAGAATGCAAAGATCATACAGTGTTCAAATGAAAGCAATAACAGCACAAAACGTTTTCATTTTCGTGCCCGGCCTTGTGCGACTACAGCCAGATACTGAGGCTAATTATCCACATTATTTCCTCCATCCTTTCCCTGATACAACTCCCTTCTTATTTCGCTGTCCAAAATTACCTCTGCTGCTGCTGCTGCTCCTCCTCCTCCTCCTTCCTCCTCTTCCCCTCTTCCATTTTCCTCCTCTCTCCCCCTCTTCTATTTTCCCTCCTGCCCTCCTCCTCCTCTCCCTCTTCCATTTTCCTCCTCCTTTCTTCCCTCTTTTCCCGCGTCTTCTCTTCCCGCTTCCTCCTCCTCCTCCCTCCTCCCACTTCCCGCTCCCCCCCCCTCCCTCCCTCTCCTCCACTCCACCTCCACCTCCACCTCCTCCTTCCTCTTCCCAGCCCCTTTCCCTCCCCCCTCTCCAGGCCCGCATTACCCCTCCCACCAACCACCCACGACAACGCCCGCATCCAAAATATCAAAGCGCCGGCGCATCCCCCGTCGTCGCCCTCTTGCACCGGAAAACACCGAGGAATCCGGCGAGAAACACCACAGCAACTCCCATTCCGAGATGACCCACGCGCCGCGACCGCCTCCGCCGCAGGGAGCAAGACGGGACCACCACGCGAGCTTGGGATCCCTGGCAATGGGAGCCAAACACTGGACACCAACGACAGCAAAAAAGAAATAAAAACACAACCAAACAACGGCATACCTTACTTGACGCCGCGATGCGGATTCTACAAGCGTGATTCATTAGACACGCATTCTTTCACATGCGGCATGATATGGCCTTCAATTATTCTTGCAATCTACACTTCGTTCGAGGTATGCGCCGCGCTATCATCTGCCGACATCTCCCCCTCTCCCCTCAAATCATGCCGATGCCCTCCCGTCTCCCCCATGGCCGACATGCGAAGAAGTGAATCATTCCAGCACATGACTGAGGCAGCAGCTGAGAACACGCGGAAGGTTATGGCCGTCAAGGATGTCCATAGATCGAAGAAATTGTGAAT